TTTTACAAAATGCTATTTAAATTTTCTACTTGTTTACAATTTATGTAGGAAGAGATCAATTTTAAAACCAGTTATCTAGATAATATTCAGCCACTTATTTTTTAGATTCATGTACAAAAGCTGAGATTGCCTGTTCCTGATCTATTTAAAAAATAATAATAATAATAAGAGAAAAGCTGAATTTGTCGCCCAAACCGGAATGTACAACCTTCTCCTTACAAACAGAACAAATCCTGTTCACAAACCCCGCAGCCTGGGCGAGGAATGCTGAGGCCAAAACGGACAGGAGGAGCTGAGTCAGGGATGCCTACCTTCCCCGTGAGGTTGTGGCTGGTTTTTGGGAGGATTCTTTTTGCGCTGAGCAAGCGAGGAGCAGGAGTTTAGACATGGGCGGGGGAAATCGAGGCAGGAGCTGCCAGCAGGATGCAGCAGCCGGAAACCCGCTTCGTTGCGTCTGGAGGAGGAGACGGATCTCCACCATCAGTTGTTGGCTCCTTCCCAGCTGGGAGCTTGTGTCACTGATCGACCTCTCCTGTAGGTTATTTTCTTTTCACTCCCCACTACAGATTCACGGTAGAGAATTCTCAGTTTGAGCTTTTTTGTGTGTAAATAATCTTTGGGGGTACAGCAAGTCTTCGTAGACACTGCAGGCAAAAGCCAAGGCACAACTCGGATGGCGCAGTAGAGCTTCTGAAGCATCTACCGTAGGATTCATTCAGCATGAGGAAACACCGATTGCGTTTAAACCTACCTCAGTAATTACTACAGATCGTTGCTGGGAAATGAATACATTTTTTTTTTTCATTGTCCTTACATAATTCCCTTTTTGACCTGCCGGAGGCACGTCGGAAAGCCTTTGTACAGGCGGAGATGGCACAGCCTCAAGGGCAGGGACGGGGCAACAACCTGCGGTGCGAACTTCAGAGGCTTTGGCCAGCAGCAGGAGCAGAGCTGCGCTGCAATTACTCATTTTAATTGTATGTAGCTGATGACACAGCGGCAAAGCACGTAACTGTGCGCTCTGAAATCAAAGCTCGCCCTGGGACTCACCGTGGTTTTTAGAAATATATTTACCGTAAATTGTCTTTCTTGATTCCACGAGGCTCCAAAGGAGAAGCGCAAACCGAACCCAACGTGGAATAACAAAGCTTAGCAAAAGCTCCCGCGCTCTCCTTGTTGTAAATCCAGGGAGGGAGGTTGCTGACCGGCCGCCCCGGGGCAGAGCGGACTCTGCTCAGCAAACAGCCCCGGGGGATGTCCGCAGGGATGACTGTCCAGATACAGGCAATCACCTCTTTCAAAGCAGATGGGTAGGAAAAGTCTTTTGGGTGATTTAAACTGGCAAAACTGCGATTCCCTGAAAGCCACAAAGGTGAAACCCTTTGTTATTTTCAAATTCAGCTTCTACTAAATAACTCGCTGCTTCAAAGGGATGGTGGTTTTAGGAATCTGGATCTGCGAAAGGAGCCGGGAAGCTGAATTTTCCTAAACACTGTAACTGAACTAAAGAAGCTCAAGTGTTTATGTTGAACTTCTTCGCTCCATTTCCAGCACTGTTTTGGTTTTTTTTTTAATTGTAGAAATTATTTGACTTGTTTAGAGTCAGGGAGGGGGCTGATGCTGGAGGTTGGAAATACATCCTGCTTGAAATTTTGTTAATTTGTGAGGTTTAGTCACCCTATTGTTTCCAAATGGGAATATCTACGCTGTTCCTTGTGCGTGTGTCCTGTCCACAAGGGACAGACTCCTCTCACCCCAGAGAGGTGATTAAAATGTAAAACTGGATTTCTGGCTGGGTTTTTTGCCCTTGCCTACCCCTGTAGTCCCAAACCTTCCTTTTTATCTTCAACACGTGAACGAGCATGCAGCTCTCTTTCTGCAAAGCATTCCCTCCCAGGATTTCAAAGCCCTGTACCAACGACTGGTTCAGGTTTCACGTGTAAGATTCCCTGGCCGGGGCACTCGCAGGGCTTCAGCTCCCGAATCATCGCACTTGGAGGCTCTGAAGCGTGTCTGAGTTTGAACGCAGCCCAGCCGCCGTCTCTGGCAGGGGTCCCTGGGCATGTTTTTGAGGTGCTTTCCTATCTGGCACCCCCTGCTAACCAGTGAGAGTTTCAGTCCCGGCGGCTGCTTTCTGGGACCAGTGCCAATCTTTAAATTCCATCGTAGCTTAAACCCCCGCCCCGGATGGTAGTTCTGCAGTTACCAAAACGCTCTGGTTGCTGTGGGCTTGCGCTGACCTAACGTACCTGTAGCTGGATGTGTTCCTCGGGATTGAACAGCAGTTCTTAGTCCCCATCTAGCAGATGCACGCCGCTAAAAGCTGGACCCTCTCTTTGAAGCAGGCAGAGAAGTTGAACATAGCCCAGTTTCTCCAGCATGTCCCAACGGCAGGTTAGTGCATCTGCATCCTACACATACAATGGCTGAAGCCCCAAAACTGTGATAAATAAAATCCACGGCTTCTTATTCCCACTATTCCCCAGCACCGGGATCTCTGTTTTAGCCCATTGCGAACGCGTTGCTCCATTGGCAGTGAGTGCTGTGGCACCACGTGCTTTGCTCCGAGACCTTTGCTGTCCTGTCCGGGAGCACTCGGCTGCAGCTGGTGAACACAGACATTGGCCCAATTGCCACTGACAGCAGATTCCCCGGAGTTTGTCATATTCCTTCTTTCTTAATTCCTCGTAGCTCTTGTCGTTCATTGAAATATTGCGAATTAGAGACGCGGTTGTGTTGCACGGAAAAGGCTCTCTCAGGACCGAGCACAGCCGCCCTCCTGTTGGATTGGTCTTTTTAAGAGTATTAAAAAATCCAACAGCAGCAAAAAAGCCGCATTTAGTTGTAAATTTATTTGTCTGCTCTCAAGTGTTCTCCATTTTCTCAGGGCTTAGACCCGAATTTTGCTATGGAAGCTTTAGACAGAAGCTGAAATCCAGCCGCAGCCAAATGGTTCCAGCCAGGAGGGGAGAGAAAATCCCTCGGGAAGGGCCCAGGAGACCATGAGAAAAGCCGGGTGAGTTGGGGTCAGCTCCTAGAGCAACGCCCACCCTTCCACAGGGGAGCTGACCCCGCAGCCCAGCTCCGGGGCCTGAGCACCCCGAAAAAGATGGTGGTGGGGAGCAGGCTGTACCGTGAAACCGGGGTGCAGAGCAGAGCAGCCCAAAGTTCACCTTGAATGTGAAACTTCACTCCTATCCTGCGTTTCTAACCAGCAAGGGATTTATTTCCACCCAATGGGGGGATGTTTTACCCAGTTTTTGCCTGTCGCCAACAGCCATCGGGTCCGTGCTCTGGGGAACTCGGTGCATGTAACGGCGCTGCCGCCTCTTCCAGTGCTTTCCCTCGATGCGCTCATGTCTGTGTTGTGATTTCATCTGTCGCTGAACGAGAGAGGAAGAAGCTTACGTGTTCATGAGACCCGCCCGTGAGGGTGCCCGTGGCTGTTTGCATGGGTAGCACCCGCCCGCAGCTGACTTGGCTCACGCTCCGCTCCTGGTAGAGTTGTTTACAGTAGTCCAGTGTCGGTTCTGTATCGTTTAATTTTTTAGCACTTTAACTGTGAGTGTACAAACAGATTATGTTGTAGTAGGTGTACATTTTCATTTTAGACCTTTCAAAGTTTTTAATAAAACAATGGAAAAAATCCTCATCTCTTTGTCGACAGGCTTTCAAACCCTCTCGGATGTGCATGGCTACACCCCCCTCCCCACCTTTAAAAACCCCATTCAGGGGCAGCTGAGGTTCAAATATTAAATTTTACTCTGGCTAGCAGCACTCTGAATTTGAAGAAAGACTTTCTAGACTTAATCTTAAAATCTGTACTCGTGGACGCTGGGCGCCCTTCCAGCAAACACAAACTCTGCAGACTCTGGTTTGTTCCCCCCTCTTATGAGCAACAGACCATGCCAACCACCGGCGAGCAAAGAGACGAGCAAGCTAATGAACGGCGGCTGGGTTTGGGAGAGGGAGTACTGGGGTGTCTGGGGGTTTGTGCTGGGTTGTTTTATTGCTGGATCAAACCAGAGAACAGGATGGTTTAATTTTTTTTTTCAAGGAGCAGTCTAGCTACTAGTCGGATACGTGGTTATTGCAGGTTGGGAAGCCACATGCTCTGGGTCTCACATGGTGGGTGATGAAATAACTGGTTTTAATCATCACATGGTGCTGTTCTAATACACGGTGCTGGTTTGGGTCTCCTTAAGATAAATAACTCTGTCCGGGGATGAAACTTTAGGAGCTGCTGGTTAAGACGCAGGTCCTGCAGGGCCACAGGAGATGTGAA